ATATCACCATATTTTGTTTGGACAACTGACTGATAGATAATATATTCACTGTGGCTTCAGGTGCATACCGACATTCTTCATCAGACAGTTAATCACTTTTTCTCTTATCTGGTGGTTGTACTCTAATTTTTCCTTGACCTTGGACCTTTATTATCATATTGTTAGCTGTGTAGATAACATGATTGAATGGGGTCATGTTTATAAACCAATATTTAACACAACTTATGTGATGAACACTACTTCTGTTAACCATTCCATAGATACTGAATCAATGCTATTACTTATATTGGAGCACAGGATCATTTGATCCCTGAATTTTGCACTATGACTGTTGTGGCTGCACTGAAATGCCACGTGATCATATCTCTTACACTATAACATTGTGACCGAAGGGTCGGCACCTCTTCAATGCCCTGTCAGGATGACACCACCATGTCTCATTTGACATGGAAGCCGCACTAACTAGGTCACGTGAGCAGTCGTGAAATGGAGTGATCAGATTCAGGATGGAGGGAGAGACAGCGCACCGGAAGTGACTTACTCAGAAACGGTTTAACGTAACAACTATTTAATCGGTAATGATAGGCCATACAGGACATACAACATTTTGATCTTAACAATACTAGATTGTAGATACATTGGCTCCAGGGATATTAGATATATATATCGGATATTAACGTTCCACGATTCCTGAGAGAGAGAGTTTACAGTAAATACGCGTGGCAATAAATACCTTTTATGATATCTGGATTGGTAGCCTGTCGGCAAGACAGTTCTAATTCCAATAGTTCCAGCATTCCTTGATATTAGGCAAGACGAGATATTAGGCGAGGTATCCAAAAAAAAGAGCACAGGTTATACGAAAAAGTTTCACAGGAAAATTAAATCGAGTAGTCCGATTGAAGAACTGGCAACGACTGCCCATTTTGTTGTTCTGTTCTCTATGTTGTACTGTTGAAATCGAACTATTAGGTTGAAAGGTGATGAGAAAGCGTCGTTACTAGGCCTGAGAACTTAACAGATGTTTAGCTCCCAGGTGTAAAAGTTGACAGTTATTTAACGAAAGTATAACTACGATGAGATGTTAGGAGATAATGATATAAACATAATGAAAGTCTGGATTTGGATCCTCCCAACATTGTTCCTTAAACCTTATATTTTTTATATCACGAGATCCTTTGTTCTCATGACTAGTTCTAGCTTCACTATCATAATTTTTGTTTGTAGATTCATGGTCATTGGTATGTATTTTCTTTACTATACTTAAAACTGTTTCTGGTACATTGTTATCATTTTCATCATGGCCAGATGCCTCGTGTAATACCATGTTTTCTTCACTGTAATGCACACCTTTCTTTTAACTTCTCTAGTCTCCAAATTTGGGATCATATTAGAATGTTAGAATCGACCACAAAGTCAACTTAATGCAGTCTTATTTGCGTCATTTGCTTCTCACTCTTCTTGGCAATTTGCACATATTATGTCATCGGTCTAGACATGATACACATTCCTCTCATTTTGGTTTTAATTATGGTTTTCATTTTGAAATGGTTTGATGGTCTTTTAACTTCAATAAGCTGAGTGAACAATATCCATCAGATTAGTTTCTATGAAGCTAAGTTTAAACGAAAAGTTATCTGTTATGCTGAAGAATATGTAGACAGATATTTTGACATAAGTTTATTGGTATCTGGAAAATTTCATGCTTTTGTATATCAACATGAAATCTCTGTTTTAATATGACATATACAAACATAAACATTGAATAACCCAATTCTTGATTAATATCAAACAATCTTTGGATTGTAATGGCTGCATTTAATAATCATATATTGAGTAATTTTGCCTAGATGTAATTTAGATGTATATCTAAATTATTAATAGTTCTGGAGGCAAAGATTGGATCGAGAGCTAGATAGAATAACTGGCAATGCATCTGCACGATCAGCATTGTGGGTTTGAGTCCCATTCTGGGCTGATTCTTTACTTTCACAACTTTCTAAATTAAATATTACATATTACATATTCGTTTATTTATAATTATAAAATTTATTATGAGATGAGAACTTAATCGCCTACCTCTAGGCAAAATTACTCAATATCTAATTCATAAGTGTAACCGTAATATAGCCTGATATAATTTAGCATATCATTTAGTATTAAGCATTGATTTTGTGTTATTTTGTTGATTTTTTTTATATCTGATAATGGACTAATAACTGATTATATTTGAAAATGTGAATATTGTAAAGCACTGTAATAAAATGTTTTTCAAAAATGCATTTATTGCTTGATGTTTCAATACATTAACTTTCCATGGTCACGTGTTATAGGGTGCACGTTGCAGTATGTTCACAAGCTAACTTGTTTTGAGTTTTGATGTATCGAAAATCAGGTGCACATTGGATTCGATGGTCCTTTAAAATTGAGAAAAAACTAATTTTGTCTTTACCACTGATGAACTAAGTTCAATGTTTATAGCATATGCTAATGCTATAACTAAACTTTTGTATTGTTCTGACAATCGGTCATCTGTGTTACATTCAATTTGTCTCAATTAATCTATTAAATTTTGAATTTGGTTAATATATTGCTGCATATCTGAACACCTATCATATTCAATAAAGTGCAGTTCCTATTTCAGTTGTAGTATTCGTAACATACTCTTGATGAAACTTGTGTAAAAGGGGACTACCAGACTGAATCTACACCAAAGAACACAGATATACTGTTGACAGGAACATCTCTAATACAGCTTGGGTGGCTTATGCTAACCACCAAGACATCCAGGTGAATTGGGATGTGGCAAAAATTATCAGACCTGCAGAGAATGCCGACTCTCATAAGTATTTACAGGGGTTGGAAATTTATAACACTCACAAGAAATCTTCTACATGCATCGACTACCATGATAAGGACGTACTCTCTACCATGTGGCGTACATTATATGAATTTTAACTTTATCAAATTTTGTTATTTTTTAATGTTACATTTCATGTTTATTATTGTTTTTACTTACCTTTATATTCAAAATTTTGTACATAAAATTTAATGTTTAAATTTTTCTTCTTTTATGTTCAAGCTTTGTATTCAGTTGTTCGTTAACTGAAAAAGGACAGTTAATTTGGTTGAAAATGTCTTTATTCTGTTAATTAAACTTGTTATTGGAGTTTAAAGTTGTGAATTTTTTACTGTGAGTATCAGTTCCTTCGGTCATTTACAATATTTTTCATACTCTTATCCTTGTGGAGACTTGCAAGTCTGTTCCATGTCTCTTGTGCTGTGGTAGTGTTGTTCATCTGCCTTTACATGGTCTTGAATGAAAAAGACTATTGTTCCCAAATCATGTTGATCATAACTTTTAGTTCTGATCAACATCTTTGTGATCATTTCTTTTTTTAGTTAGTTCTCCATCCATTATTGGTGATTCTATTGATAACCACAAATCTTTTATCAGTAACATTTTTATGTTAAATTGCCACAAAGACAAATTGGAGAATCCTCCAGTTTCTCAATAGTGGTCAGTTTCTCAACTGTTGCCATCTTATCACATTTTCTAACACACCAAGTCAATTTGAAACTTAATTACATGCTGATTATGGAATTCATAGTTTGCCATATAGAATATGGGTCTATTCTACAAGTTTGCCATATTCTATATGGGAAATTCATGGAATGGGCCTATAAAAAAATACTGTATACTACAGTAGTGTAGACATGTATGTTCTTTCTACATAGAAAGAAGGTGGCAGATAAGATTCCTGTGTTTGGTTAAAACTAATTAAATAATATCTAAGGAAATTCTCATGTACAAAAGCTTATCAAGTGAGTCCAAAACATTTGTTTAATTAAAAAATAATGCTGGGAAGTAAAGGTTGATGTACGAGTAGTTCATGATGTCTCAATAAAACTGTTATGACATGAACAAAAAGTTTGCAGTTTTAACAGTTTACATTGGTCAAAATTAATTCATTTTTGTTGCACTACATTGCATGCGATGATCCATTGTTCACTGTGCTCCTGTTTAAAATTAATTGGTTTATGTATATGTGTGTGTGTGTTTGTAGAGATGAAAAAATAGCAGAAAATATAAGGAATGATAATTCTTTTAAATATAAATCTATTTCAAGTAAGGAAAAGTGTGAATTCTCACATTTTCCTGCATTGGAATGTGTATACAAATGCTTGCACGGAGTCTCTCGGATGCCAGCACTTTTTTGAAAAGTATTTATGGACCAAAAAAATGTTTCAACTGTGTGTCATCCAGATTGAAAAATTAGGAAAATAGAAATCTTTTAGATTTGTGTATGTGTGTGTGTTTTTGTCTATTCTGTTTAATAGCTTAGGATGGAGTAAAGATTAAGAAACAAAATATGACATGGTAATTTGTATATAATGAGCATTGATGCTATTAAATTTTGGAATACAGAACTCAAGGGAATGGGGAGATAGGGGGGATCATGTATTGTGTCTTCAGCGGGGTCAGACTCAATGAAACATTTACTTATTACTGACATTTAAAATATTTTAAATGAGTGAAATTGTCTCGTGTCCCTACTCTAAAATTTTCTGCCTTTTTATAATAATTATTAATATAAAACATATTTTTTTTAATTAATGACATTTCATAACAAATGGCACTTTACACAATTTCCACTTTGAGCTAGCATTGTGGTCTTTTTCAAACTTATTTTTTTAAATAAGGATTTTTTTATTATAATTTAACAAAATTACTGCCTTTAAGCTTTTCTTATTACTGAAATTTTATATCATAGTATTAATTGAAACTTATTGGACTTCCTAATGGTCACCTTAACCTCCCGTTCAAGTGCTGGGAAAGTCAAGCAAGCGCCCTTGCCAGCATTATTTAGGTTACCGAATCATTGTTTGAGCATGAATTAGTTTTAAACAGTTTCAGAACAACTATTATTATTTATATTAAAGAAGAAAACAATTATAAATTAATACATATAAATATTTCATTATTTTTACTATTATAGCAATGGCAAGTTCTAAGTTAAATGAAGAGAAATTGGAGAAGAAATTTCAACTTGTCACAAATTCTCAAGATAGTATCCAAACATTGTCCTTATGGATATTATATCACAAGTCACAGCACAAGAAAATCGTTGACATATGGCTTAAAACATTAAAGAAATGTAAGTTATGTCTTTATTATGATTTATTATATTAATTATTAAATTTTATTAATGATGAAAATTATTAAATAGTATAAAAAGTATAATAATTTATTGCAAATTTCTTTGTTTTTATTTAAATTGATGGAATAAAGGTATATGTTTCCACATAGCAGGAAGCATTTCAGATTGCTCTCCATTACATAAAAATAAACATTGCACAATAAATATAACAGAAATTGCTTAATCGGAACAAATTACAAATGCGTTTACAAAATAATAACGTTTTGAAATTTCTATTAACTTTATTTCTCCAATTTTTTCACTCGCAGACAGTTATCTGCTTTCATGGCGATAAAGACGAAAAATTGAAATGCCAGCTAAACCTTAGTGTCAAAGAATAAATCATTGCATTAAATGCCATTATATTTTCAAATGCCAATATTTTTACCTGGTTTACACACCGCCATCAAAAAACTATGACTGAAGACCAGCGGCGGCCTTATCCATTGCGAGGCTCTGGGCGGCAGATCTTTGCGAGGCCCTTGTCCTTTGTGCAAAGTATGTGAATTGAAATAGTAGGCACTTATTAATATTAATATATACTGTACTATAAATTAAATTTATTTTATTGTTATAACTAATAGCCAAGGATAAAATAAAAAGTTTTAAATATCAACTTTTTTCTACTTGGTTGTTGCACGAGGCCCCTGCAAGAGCGAGTCCCCAGGCGATTGCCCTGCTCACCACCCCCTAAGGCCGCCACTGCTGAAGACAATAATGAAAAATCAACTCACCTTTGGTGGTACATTTAATAAATAAACAAACTAAATTTGTTGCCCACCAAGGGCTAAGCGGTTCTGTTCCCCAAACTCCGGGAGTTTGGTCATGGGTTTGCGCCTCATCAGGACAGGTTGGCCACGTGGAGTTTTCTGGGTTTTCTCCACATCTGTAATGCTTGAATAGGGAGGGGCTAGTTTAAAAAAGACCTTAAAAAGATTTTCCGGAAGGCATTCCCCTTAAGCAGATCACCCAAGTGTTGTAGACTTAACTAAACAATAAACTAAATGTGCTCAAATCAATTATAGCTTTAAAATATTATTTTTCTGGAAATTGTGTTATGTTTAGANAAATTTAAGTCCATTGAATTTTGTCGAAATACCTACATGTAAAATAATAGTCTCGCTATTGTTTTTTAAATATAGTTTTATTATCAAATATATCATCATTTTATATTATCATTTTATTGATAAACAATTTTGTTAAGTTTTTTATACTATTTTGATGATTAATACATATAAATATTTCATTATTTTTACTATTATAGCAATGGCAAGTTCTAAGTTAAATGAAGAGAAATTGGAGAAGAAATTTCAACTTGTCACAAATTCTCAAGATAGTATCCAAACATTGTCCTTATGGATATTATATCACAAGTCACAGCACAAGAAAATCGTTGACATATGGCTTAAAACATTAAAGAAATGTAAGTTATGTCTTTATTATGATTTATTATATTAATTATTAAATTTTATTAATGATGAAAATTATTAAATAGTATAAAAAGTATAATAATTTATTGCAAATTTCTTTGTTTTTATTTAAATTGATGGAATAAAGGTATGTGTTTCCACATAGCAGGAAGCATTTCAGATTGCTCTCCATTACATAAAAATAAACATTGCACAATAAATATAACAGAAATTGCTTAATCGGAACAAATTACAAATGCGTTTACAAAATAATAACGTTTTGAAATTTCTATTAACTTTATTTCTCCAATTTCTTCAGTCGCAGACAGTTAACTGCTTTCATGGTGATAAAGATGAAAAATTGAAATGCCAGCTAAACCTTAGTGTTGAAGAATAAATCATTGCGTTAAATGCCATTATATTTTCAAATGCCAATATTTTTACCTGGTTTACACACCGCTGTCAAAAAACTATGACTGAAGACAATAAAGAAAAATCAACTCACCTCCGGTGGTACATTTAATAAATAAATAAACTAAATTTGTGGCCCACCAAAGGCTAAGCGGTTCTGTTCCCCGAACTCCGGGAGTTTGGTCATGGGTTTGCACCTCATCAGGACAGGTTAGCCACGTGGAGTTTTCTGGGTTTTCTCCACATCTGTAATGCTTGAATAGGGAGGAGCTAATTTAAAAAAGACCTTAAAAAGATTTCCCGGAAGGCATTCCCCTTAGTCAGATCGCCCAAGTGTTGTAGACTTAACTAAACAATAAACTAAATGTGCTCAAATCAATTATAGCTTTAAAATATTATTTTTCTGGAAATTGTGTTATGTTTAGATGAATAAATAAACATTTTTTGCAACATAGCGTTATTAAAGTTGTCAAGTTGAAACTGAGGGAATGTAAAAATAATTTTATCACAAAAGGCTTCTAGTTGTAACAAATTATGTCATAGTGGATGTTAATTTGTTAGAAATTTACTATTCTGCTGTTAAGAATATTAGACATAATATAAAACAGTTTACAAGTTTAATATATGAGATTCTATTAGCTTAGTAGTTAAAGTATAGGAGCTCCCCTGCTTACAAACAATTTGATCTTATGTCTAAAATTGGGGTGTATTGAAATTGGTCTTTGGCCAGTAATAAAATTTTTAATAAATAATCAATGTCGATTTTATTTCTATCTTGTATCATTATCTTTTGTTTTAGTATGGATTCTGAAGTTCTGTTGCCACTCGTGAGAAGGCATTGAAGTTGGAAACATTGGAGTAACAGCATTTTTTGCTATTGTTTGCAATTTTTATGAAGTTTTATGATTAGTGCTTCAAAAATGCATTCAAAATGTAATAGTAAATCTAGCAGTGGAGATAAATGCAAGAAGTGTGGCTTGATTACCATGGAGACTAAACTGGATATTATAAAACTAAGTGTGTTAGGTGAGAAAAACTACATTTGAAACACCTGCTACTGCTGCAGCAGTAGCGAGTGGGTTAATGAGCTTAATGTATTCTAATAAGTATACTGAAGGATAAAACACTAACATTAAGTGGTTATTCTGTGTACAATTGTTAGTTAGTTACCAATTAATCCATACAAGGCAAATTTGCAACACTGCTTTGCCTTATTCTCATTGTTTTCATAAATTATATTTATCACTTGTATTTGAGAACTCAGTTCCCACAAATGCATTCCTATTCTTGAAATTTCTTTATTCTTTAAAATATTCAATTCTGTTCCTAGTTAACTTACATAAAACACCCAAACTCTTGCAGTAATGTTGAAAATTAACATAGAACAAGTGCTGTTTTGCATTTAAAAGATTTCAGAATCTGAAGATAGGTACATAAGATCTTCATAAATGTTAGATCTATAGTGTTAATTTTCCACATTACTGCTGGAGTTTGAGTGTTTTACATAAATCCTGCTCCTGTTTAATTGCAACAGTGATCTTTGTTTTTCTGACAAGGTTCAAAATCATTCTCCAAATGCAGTTTGTTATACTCTACGACTGTTATACCTGGAAGTGATTTTACTGATTTTTCTACAAGTGAAATCTTAATTTTTCTATTTATTCAGATTACATTACATTCTTTGTGCCCAGAAACCTTTTCTTTTTTTGTGTTGAACAGGTTTTCAGCTTGTAGCTCCACACCAAAGATTTTTTTCCATTTAGACAAGTTTCCTTTTTATTCAGGTTCCATTTTTAGGCAGGTTTTACTGTATTTTTTTATATGTTTAAACTGAAACTGATAGATAATGCTGTTCTATTTTGTCAGTTTTGAAAAACTTTTCTTCTGTTTATTAGCCTGTTGATGATGATAATATATATATTTATTTGTATATCTCGTGTTTTATTTATTCTTTCAAACACTAAATTAATCTTTAACATCAAAACACAGGGTTTGTAACTATATTTTTGGACGTAACATAATGACCTTACGCTATTGTGCAATGTGGTGAGAAAATTAGATTGAATGATCATTATTTGTACATGCAAGCAATATTTGATTGATAAGAAATGATAGAAAATGTTTTCTATATTAATCATAGTTGTTTTTGGCTTTGCTACCTATTTATATAGAAGTATAATATTAAATTTGGATGACTAGATGACCAAGCAGTTAAGGTGACAGCCTATTGTGCTGGAGAATCTAGGATGTAATTGTAAAAATCCCGGAAATTTTTTGGAGAATGGTCTGTCTGGATACATTGGGTCCCATCTCACCAACCGGCTGCCCCATTTTGAACCTGGTGAATCTTGTAATTGGCTTACTAAGAAAAAAGGCCCTCTTAGTGTCCACTTAGAGGAAAGAGTTTTAAAAAAAATATTAAGTATCTGTTTTATTGTAATTAAACATTAAAGTAAACATCCAAATTAAAAAAAAATCTAACAGAGATAAATGTATCAGTACCTATTTATTAATGATATATTGTTCCAATGTGGTTGCCATGGATGCAAGAGTGCAAATAAATTATGTATTTTCATTACAAGCGTGTAAAGTGATGTACGCTCTGTTGGCCATCTTTGCATGATATGTCATTAAAGTTTCATTTTCAATATTGTAGACTCAATTTATTATACTGTACTTGTGGCAAATATAACAGGAATCAATCACATTATCCACATGAGCGCCTACTTAGAAATGCTAATAAAATATGGAGGAGCTTTTTAAATTGAAAAATGGATGATTATCATCCACAACAATTACGAGTTTTGAATCTAGAATGTTTACAATATGTAATCAATGAGAAGAGTTTGTAACAAACAGTTTGCGATAGCATTTATATTGTTTAAATTTAAGGTTTTTCTTCCTGTTGTTCTCATGTTTTTGTGTTTCTTTATGAAATTTAATACTTTAATAATATTGTTATTACTAAAAAATTGTCATTTATGCTTTATTTTTCTGTCGGTTGAAAGAGAGAAATGCCTAATCGCTAGATTTTTGTGGTGATACTTTGGCTAATAGGATTGATTGGATTAACTGTAAATGTTGGTATCAATTTCCCACTATTTACAACCTTTTGTAACCTAAAGCATGACTGGTTATTTATTTTTTTAGTGTCTTTGTTACAAAACTAATACTAATTATGTAAGTTAGATATCTGCAATTATCCCTACCAGGCTGTGATAGGTGATGTATAAGTTTTCGCTTTTGTGTTTAGGACTCTAAGTGGCAAGGAAAATTGTAAATGAACACGATTCTCTGAGATGAGAAATGAACAAAATTGGGCAATTTAATTTAATCAAATGGACAAAAAGCAGACGAGAAACTGGCATCAGAATATGCTCAAATGAAATAATTTGATTTAAAACTTTTACTTTATTAAAATTGAACTAATAAGAGAAGGCCACAAATTGCTGTGTGTGCTTTTATCTTATAATAAAATGCTGTTTATTGTATAGATTTTGGTGCTCTTTACAAGCAGGTAAAGCTGTTTTCATGAATAGGCAATACACGAGGAAAAAACTTGAAAAGAAAGAGATCCATAATTAATAAGTAGTTTGCCAAACTGCGCATCTCTGGCATGTGGTCAGCCAAAATAGAGCATTTGAATACAAACATTATGTTACTTAAACTTATAAAGTAATGTTTGTATTTGAACATTCTGTTTTGGAATATGCAGCGTGTCATTTAATCTTTTGACAAGTAAAAATGGCATGGTACCATTTAATGTAAATATTCTTGCTTTTTGATGTAATCCAGGGCTGGCTAATTGTACAGCTTTACTACATCTTGTAGATTAAGTGATGAAACAGAGTCCAAGATCGAGTTTGAATTAGCATTGAAAATACATTTCGGACTCGTAGTCTCTCATTGTCCAAACAGCAAGTGTAGATTACTAAATTATTAATATTACAAAAAAATTATTTCTCTGTTACCTATCATTTAATGGTAAAAATTCTACCTTTGCATATTCTTTCACTAATTAAATACAAAAAGGTGGCACAAAATTTCACTATTAACGGCAGCACTCGCATTCATAGATAACAATACCTAATCTCAAAACCGAAAAAGTTGTTGCCTCATTAGTAAACAAAATAAAATTTTAAATACAAGTGTAGGACCGTAATGAACATCTCTGTACATAAAGCACTTCTGCACTTTTAAAAAGTGTGTCAGATTTTCTAATTGTGCTGTATGATGATGGAGGGTGAATTTCCAATTACCTCACGCAACTCCTAGCTAAGTAATTTGGCTTAAAGGTAGATGGTTAGGCTGTCCTCACATATTAAATTTAATAATTGGAAATAAATCTAGCCAAGATATAAACCAAACAATTCAGTGATTAATGACTTGCGTATTAATATTGGGTTTATTTAGTATATTTAATGTTGTAATTAAATATCATTTTCTTTAAACAGCAAAAGTTTCACACAGATTAGTTTTATTATACGTGGCAAATGACGTCATTCAGACATGCAAAAAGAAATCCGCTCCGCAATTTGCAGAAACTTTTGCAGAAATACTAGCTGAAGCTACGTTATTAATCAGGTATTTTTTATTATTGTAATCGGTTTAAAAATAAATATTAGTTTATTTTATTTTTTAAAATTTCTTAAATTCTTACATTAATAAAGAGATGAGAAGATTCGGCCGATGGTCGAACGTGTTTTTAACGTCTGGGATCAGAGGAGTGTTTACAGTTCGGAGTTCATTGACGAGCTGCGTGGAATTTTATGTAAGTACAATTAATCATTAGAAACTTATTTTTAATGGCAATATACTTAAATATTCAAAACTATTTTTATTTTTAAATCAATTTTTATTCATGTTTAAAATTTGCTGGAGAATAAAATATGAAGATGTGAATCTAGGCAAAAGTTTGTTTGTGTGATTAGTAATCTATAAATTTGATATAGACTTAACAGTTACATTTAGTAGAATACATGATGGTCCTTTAATCCTGCATTTTCCAAAGCTTCTTACCTTTCAGTGCCCTCTTATCTCAAGGAAGTAGTAGTGACCACTTTAGAAATCACTGCTTTAATCTAATAATTAATTATAATTAAATGACAAACATTTTTAATACAGGTAACCCCCGTATAACACGGTAGTTACGTTCCAAAAAATTGCCGTGTTATGCGAATTCGTGTTATACGAAACAAAGAACTAGTACGAAAAGGAGGGTTAGGTTCCAAAAATTAAAAAACATGCTATTATATTTTCATAATTAAGATAAATATCTTTATTAAAATTGTCTTAAGTGATACATATTAATATAAATTAAACAATGTCTTCTTCGTCATCACTAAAAGCACTATTAACCGAGAGCATTTTCTTTTTGGCAAGTTATCCTTATCCTCTGAGTATTTTTCTGAATTATCTTCAGATCCATGCTTTACCTTTTGCAAAAGGTATGTAATTTTAGATTGCTTGCTTTTAGTTAAAAGATCTTTATAAATTTCCTTATATGGTGCTAAGCACTTATATGAAGAATAAAGCAAGTATGGAATAAGGGAAAAACATCTGGCAACATCAGAAGCAGAAGCGTCGCGATCTGGCAACATTGAAACAAGTTTCGAGAAGGACCATGTGTATTGACAGAAGGAATTTTCATACTTAAGTATTAATAGTTCACGAAAATAATAATTTTCGTGAACTATTATTTCTTAAGTATGTAAAAATTTATTACATTTCACGTTGTACGAGGGTTTTACCCAATTCTCGAACCGTGTCAGAGTGAATCCGTGCTATAACAGTACCGTGTTATAGCACAGATATGGTACCAATTCTTGAACTGTGTTAGAGTGAATCTGTGCTATAGAAGTGCCATGTTATACGGGGTTACCTGTATATTTATTGGCTATCTTCAAGTTTAAAATATGGAATGTAGAACCCAATTAGTTTTTATGAAGTAGAATGTCATTTATGTAAATTCAGTTGAATGCACATCTACACTCGAATTAAAAGATTAAATTAAACTAATGTGCGGTAAACAAAATACAAGTTTTCTATCTTGTATTTTATTTGAAGATTAAGGAATTGAAGCTTGCAATTTAAAACTAAACTTTCTGATATTTTCATTTGGATATAAATTTGTGTTAGTTGAATTTATGCATGCAATACTTTAATTTGTAACCACTTATTCTGTAGAGAATCACACCTAAATGCAAAATTTCTAGCAAAGAAACATCTAAATTCAATATTCAAACATTTTCAGCCACTATTTTATTGGCCCTCTTTAGGAAAGGTGAAATGAAAAAACCATTCCATATATAGAATGTTTGCGATATGTCACAGCCTTTATTTGAACTTTTTTGAAACTTTTAAAATTAGAATACGGCTACATTCTATATATAGAACAATTTTTCGTTTTACTTATCCTGAAGATGGCCAATAAAGTAGTGGCCAAAAATGTTTGACTATTGTATGTTGTCGAATTTAGGTGTTTCAGGTTAACAACACTCGTTAATTTAGGTGTTTCTTTGCTGGAAATTTTGTATTTAGGTCTGATTCTTTACATGTACAGTTCCAGTTTTCTGGTAAAGTTGTTGTTTATTTGTTTCACTTATTCTGTTCTAGTTATTTGATTTATAGTCTTCAGCAGCTTTGATGGATGTTTTATTCTTTATCAGGATTTAAATGTAATTAAGGAATGCAAAATAATTAATTTAATGTAAATAAAATCTTAGCTTAAAGCAGAATTTTTATCCAAATATTTACTACAATTTAAGTAAATTGACTTATAGCATATATATATATGTTGCAGTCAAAACCAGTTTTTAGTTAGGATGCATTTTAACTAGTTGAAACTAGTTTATATTGGATTTCTTTGTTATAACTAGAATTTACTGCTAGTCAAAAATGAATTTGAGTTAAAACTAGTTTTAACTAGACAAAACCAGTTTTTACAAAATGGCTTAGTAAAAACTATTTCGATTGAGGTCAAAGTTCATTCAGCTAACACGTGATAACGCTTACAATCTCTAATTACAATAATAGCCAGTCAAGAAGACCCAGAAGCTGCAGCTAGTACAAATGCAGAACCTCAAATAATACCAGCTAGTGACGAAGATCCAGAATCTGTAGCTAATGCGAATCAACAGACCCAAATAATAGCAGCCAGAGAAAAAGCTCATCTAAACTTGGAATAACAGGCCCAGAGAATGAAATTGGCTTCGGATTCAATACACGCTCCTGTAGAAATCGGTGATAATATAATTATACCAATCACTGATGACGACAGAGGAAAAGCAGATCTCCGTAATATTATCGGAGTGATTCTTCAAAAGGATGAACAAGGTTTGCATAAATTTGGAATGAAATATAGGATACTTGATAAATTGTATTGCAAGTATGTATTGTTCAATTATGCCACTGTTTAATGTTGCTAACTATGCAGTTAATTCATTAATATTTTGAGATCTAATTATTATGAAAAAAAAATGTTTCCTTTTTTGGGCACAATTTACCATAATTATTATTAATCAAAGAATCAATTTAAAATAAGTATGAACCTATTTGAAAACTTAAATGTAGTTGATCAGGTCAGAATTCGACATGTCCAGAGAAAAATTCTTGTTACTAGAAGGAGTGCCAGAGACAAATGTATCTTTAAGAACTGCTGCCAGGAGAGCAGCCTTAGGAACAGGCCAAGGATTTGTTCACTGTTTGTGTAAGAAGGTGTGTATATCAAAGATGTGCTTTTGTAAGAAAAAAGGCAACTTGTGTAACTTGAAATGACATGCTAGTTTGCCTTGCAATAACAAGTAATGTAGACTTAATTTTTATATTTATGTTCCTTTATTGAATGATTATTTTTGTATGACTTTAATTAATATTACTGATGTTGTTTTAGTGTTAATATTGCTGACATGGCTCTGTGATTTTCCTTAAAAATGTTCCTATAGTGTATGATTAATTTCGTATCGCTTTAATTAATATTAATAACAGATGTATGACCAATATTTTCAATAAATATTGTATTAAATAATACAAATGTTTTAATCCCAATCATGACTTTATTTATTTCCCCCAAACATATTTATGTAGCTAAAATTAGTTTTAACTAATGTTCAAAGTTAAAACTAGTTTTATCTAAAATCCAAACATGTACTGTACAGCAGTAAATTCTAGTTATAAATAGGAAATTCTAGATGTAACAAAGACATCCAGTATATATACATATACATATATATATATATATATATATATAACACTTGAGTTATTAATATTTACATAAGATAAATTGAATTTGTTTTAATAATATCATATTTCAAAATTCATATAACATATAGAATGCTACCATTTTGAATTGGTGCATTATAATTTCACATGTGCACCTCATGTCTAATGGCACATATATGACCAATACTCAAATTCGTCCTACGCTCACTACAGCATATCTGTTGTCATTTCTCCCACAGCATCCACAATTCTGCAGCTCTTGCAGATTACCCACGTTGCACAATGATGAGTTGAGTCCAGCTTTGTGAACTACAGAACAGAAAATGCCTCCTCTGTTATGGAGTAGCCATTTTCAGTTACAGCACTTCCTAGAGGTTGTAGACATGACATTTGAATGCAGACCAAAGATGAATCGTGAACGGTTACTCTATCGGTTGGTGTACGTCGCATACTTTTCAGATAATAATTAACATAATTATAGTAATTTAAAATGGTAAATTTATATCGGAAGACTCTGTGTGTATAATTATTGATTATTGATTATATTTTAAATAAATGTTTTTGATCTGCTTAACAAACATTTACAGTTAAGTATCCAGTTCAGTTTGTATCAGTGAGTGCTCTTATTTCATTAATGATATAAAAAAATTCATTAAAAGTATAAAAAAGTATTAAGAAACTTAAATTGCCAAATTATTTTGAACTGTAGTAATGCTAATCTTAATTAATTGATATTGAAATTTGATTCAGTTGTAGACAGTGATGATGATGATGATGATGCTGCCATCTTATATAAGCATTAATAATAATAATAATAATAAATTAATTTTGAATTTAATTAAATTGGAAAATTTTCTCAGAATTATGGAAGAAAGCTTGCAGACAGTTGCATAGTAAGTCTAAATTAATATAAACCGAAGCTACATATTAATTTCAACAAGCATGTATTTTTGTGTTTGAGTTGTACTCCTGACCGATCTCATTCTTCAGAATTTTATAAATGATTTAATTAAATTTAAAATTAATTTCTTATTATTAATGTTTATACAGAATGGCAGTAATTAACTCAAATTTTGATATTAATTAAAGTTAGCATTAATATAGCCCAAAATAACCTAGCAATTTATGCTGTCTTCGTGAAGTTTGGCAATCTAAAGTAGTTTATGGATTGTTTTGATATAAAATATCTTTTGAACTGTCTAAATGCTTTGTGGATCTTACAGAAAATAGTGTAATTTAATTATATTTTACAATAATTATTAAAGAAATTAATTTATGTATATTATCTGTTCTACAGCTAATCCTAAAGTTCAATCTGTATCTCACAAATTTGTCGCTGAGTTCAAGGTACGTTAATTTATATACTCGATGTAACCATTTTGTTATTTATAACTTTAAACTTACAAACACTTTTCTATAATTCTAAAAAGCCTCAAAAAGTAATGGAAAAGATAAGGAAAATTAAGAAAATAGAACTGGAAAGTGTTACCAAATTATCTGCCTGCAGCTCATCTAAACTCGACTGTTCTTCATCTGATATAATTTACCAACTAAAAGGTATTTTTTAATTTAATTTAATTTTTTTTAATAAAAAGAGACAGTCATTTCCAAAAAAATTTTTTTTTGGAAACGACTGTGTAAAAAAAATAAATAAAAATAATAAAAAAAAAGGTATTTTTTAAATTTATTCTTTAAAACATGTTTATTCTAAGATAGTTAATCGTATTTTAATTTGAGGAAACAGCAGCCATTCATTCAGAAATAACAGATATAGAATAATTCATAATGTTTCAGACTGGAGATAGCTTTCGGACAACTCACTCTTCCACATGTAGTGCTTTGAAACATTTAAATCACTTTTCATGTGCCAAATTTGTTCTTTTATACCTTTTTGGCAATTGCATGTGGTGCTTTTTCTCAGTTTTAGTTTGATTAACTTCAAAGTCATTTGTGAAAATTAATTTTATTTTCTATTTTTTTGCTTAGTTTACACTCTTAACATTTTAAATAATGTTTTATCCATTGTAACACATTTACTATAGAAAAAATAAAGTTTTCTTGCTGTATTATGATATATTAGGCACCTTTTGTACAATCTAGTTTGAAACTGTAACAGTGGCAAGCCATAGTGCCATATGTAAGCATTGTAGGGCTAACCATGTTTACTCATGGTGACTGTGCATACAATATTTTTTATATTTTCAATTTGTTTGCTCATTTGTGATGGACCACAGAGAAAAAAATGCCATGTAACCATATTTATTATTATAAAGACGAAAAACATCAAAGAATTTATTGGATTCATCCAGTAAATATAGAGACAAGTATGAAGGGAATGGGAACATTTTCTGCCTTATCTCAAGTTTTTAATTGCACTAGATTTTTGCTTATCAAGCCATTTCTTACACGTGCAGGGTGCCTGATTAGCAAGTGTACCAAAATTTGTGAGTGTATTTACACCTAAAAGCAGCGAATGACATGATTCATTACCTTTCAGTATCTAATTTTTGGAGGCAGGTGGGAAAATTATAGTGCATGCTGACATGAAACTTGAGTAAGCAGGAAAATGAGATGTGTGATGTGTTAACATTTTAATGGAAATGGAAGAAAAAGGTAATTGTGCTGAGGAGGGGTATGCTGGATTATTAAGGGTTGGATTAGCAAGTGTGTAATGTACTTTCATACATCTGTGCAACATTTGATGAATTATTGCATTATTTGCACTTTACTCATCAAAATTCTAAAATAAGAGATTCAATTCCACTGATTTACTGTTAAAATTTGAGGTATATATTCTTCCCTCAGAACAGGTCTTTCTTGAATTAAATTAGTGATTCAGCATCTACTTCATAATTCACTTTGTTTTAATTGACAGAAAAGTTAATGTATGTTACAGGAGGTAGGCACCAAGAAATTGTGAAAAGAGTGTTTGAAGGAGGGTATGGACATAGTAATATTAACTGTATATAGCAAATAACATTGTGTTACAGTGGCATAAACTGCCACATAGGTTATTCTGCCATGACCATATTGTGTAAAAGGTTCCATAGAAATCATCAGTTGACAGCAATTTATGGTGCCATGGCTATTCATGGCCACAGTTTCAAACCAAATTGTATGAAAGGTGTATTATATGGTAAATCTTCCCCTTAAAATTTGTATGGACTGTAAACAATTTAAAGAAAATTTTAAAAGGTAAGATTAGAATTAATTTAACTTAATATAATGTGTTTGATAATTTTAATATTATTTTATTCATTTCATAATAGATAGGACGCATGGGCAGCAAATTGTTCACGAATTTGATGAAGCTGTTCGTTGTCTCCAAGAATATATTCAAATTGTAGAAAAAGAACTTTACGAAAGAACACAATTGATTGAACTTTTGGAGAAAGGAGAAACATTTTATAATGCGCAGAATGGTGAAGTGAAAGTAGTTGCAAATGTAAGAAATCTTTAAAGTCTGTATCATTTTTGACAGTTTTATTATAGTTTTTGTACTAAGTTTATTATTTATACATGTAGAATTTTATTACCTTAAACATTTTATAATAATAATGTTATTCTTGAGAATAGAAAAACATTTTTATTTTATCTAATAAAATAAAACTGTATCCTGCTCGTCAACTTGCTCACATACTCAATGACACCAATGTTTCAGCAAAAGCAGACTTCTTACAGAAAAACAAAGTGATATTGCTTAAGAAGGATGTTGGTTATGTTACAGGAAAACTCCAAATTCAAAAAGAATAAAATGTCGTGTGCGCTACGAGGTGTAGAAGTTTGGTCCTCGATACCACAGTGTCCGAGCGGTCGATTAATTTAACTGGATAACATTATTAATTATCTGTTTATTTTTAAAGGTGTGAATTAGTTTTTTTTTTGTTCTCCATTAAATTACAGCAGTTTCCTTTCTCTTACTGTTGATTATTGTTTCTTAAATTGTTTACAATTAATTTATAATATGCTCTTAAGAGGCTGACAGAAATTAAGCTGACTCAAATGTAGAAAATTACAAAGAAATTTAAGCTAGAGATAGGTTTGTTTAAAGATTCTAAAGACATTCTGTGATATAAACTAGAATATTTTGTCAGTTTCATGTCCTTTTTTTTAAGGTTTTAGTAAGTATGTAATAATTTATACATGAAAGTTGCTTTTTTTCTAACTTTTTAATGAAAGTTTGCTCATTAACACAGAATGTTTCATTGTCCTATTATAGAAATGAAAGAGTGGTGTCAAATTGATACAAATGCATAAACTATTTCAATTAACTGATTTTATTTCTAGTTAATACTTTGAGTATTATTTATTTATTATTAATTTTAAATGTTTATGAAAGCAAAAAGTAATATATTATCTTTATAATATGTTTAAGTAAAGAAATTGAGTAGTAAAATAAAAATTAAACTATGTTTAGTTGAATAAACTAAATGATTTTAGATTTTTTGAAAGGTTCATGATATTTTAAGAGCATAAATGTGTGCTTATAAATAAAAAAGCAGTCAATTTATTCAATTAGATTAGCATTTTTAATGTTCCTTTAACTTTTTCTTCAGCTCCCTTCCGTTCATTTTGACTACTCGTTAGAAGGACAATGGTCTGAACATTTAAAACTATTAAAGTTTAACATTTCTGATTTAAAAAGTGATGTGACACATCCAAATATTTTTTATTTAATACAGTAGAACCTCGAAAACTCGGCTCTCGATAACCCGGCACTCCGGATAACTCGGCCACACCCTGGCAGGGCAAAAAAATCCTTAGTTAATTAATTTTCATTATAGATAGCTTTATAAAAGTATAAAAGCTCTCATAAAGTATTTTTATGAGGTCTGTCTTATCAGGTAAATTACTGTACACAGTGTATTCATTAATTTTCATTTTCATGTAGTAAAGGCTCTATGCCTTCATAAAGGACGTACTTTTCCTTTGTTTAAGGGTATTTGAGCAGTTTATTCTCTGTTGTATTCTCCAGCAAACAATACATACAAGTACAGTACACTCTTTTCTGAGGAAACACGCATACTTATCCTTTTTTTAACCCCATTCCCGATAACTCGGCATTTTCACAAACTCGGCCACCCTTCGGTCCACATTAGGCTGAGTTTTCGAGGTTCTACTGTATTAGAATTACATTTTCCAAACATTTCCAATTTGAAACTGGAAAATGTAACCTGGACTTTTAATTTTGTTTTATTTATTCTTAATTGAATCAACAGTTTTTAAATTTGTTAAATTTTGATTTATTGGAGAATGAACTCTTTCAAAATTGTACCAAAGGTCTACCAAAGAATTCAAATGTTGCAGTTCAATGAGCGTGTTCAAATTCTTTGTAAGACCCAAAAATAAGAATTTAATTTAAAAAATTAAAAAGTCCAAAAAATACTTAAAGTTCTCTTTTAAACTAAAGAGTTAAAATTATTCAGTTTTTCCCAACTTCAAAGAAACTCAAAACTCACAAGTGGAAAGAATTGAATTCAACAATCACTTCTTAATTTATTAAACTTTTTTACCATATGCATTTCACTTTACAGCCTCATCAGTGGTTATTTCATTTAACATTATCTGTGCTTTTATATTCTATTAACCTATTCCGGCATGCATCTATGTCGACTCCCGTATTCAAATTAATGGTATTTGCATAATTTTTAATACAATAGTGTTCCACAATATGTCTTATAAATACATTTTCTATTTTATACAATATTATTATGTTATTATGGTTAATAGTACAGGTTTTATTACTATAATGTTGATACCAGGGAGATTTTATTCTTTTCAGTCATATAGTCGCTTCATGCTCTTTCAATCTTATTCCGAGTTTTCTTCCTGTCTCGCCAATGTAAACCTTTTTATCTGTTCATGTGCAGTGAAATTTATAAACGACTCCGGCCACATCCAAAGGATTCTTTTTAATTGTAGTACTTCCTTTATTAATTAAATAAATACTTTTACTAAATATTTTACTTTGTTTTTCTATCAAATTCACTGGGTGGTTACCTAAGAAATATTTATATTTTTCATACAGGAAATTTAATAAATACATTATCAATTTTTCTATTTTTAACATTATATCTATTATTAATATAGAGGTTGTGCCATTTATATATAAGTTGCCGTGGGTAGTCATTTAACAAATATTTCTTAAAAATGTTTTTAACCTCAATATCTATATATTTTTGTAAAGATGTTCTATTATATATTTTCTGTGATTCCATAAGAAATACATTTCATTTAATTTTTTCAGGACAGTATGATCTATAGTTGATTACCTTATTGATATTACAAAGTCTTTTCATACTTACGGAACAATACTTTTTCTTTTTGTCTCGTTATTATGACATCCAAGTATTTAATCTCATTATGTATCTCATCTTCGTAAGTAAATTTGATGTTTTTGTTCAAAGTATTCGCATAACTTTCAATGTTCCGTGCTGTAGTAATATCAGAATCATATAAAATTAGTATGTCATCTACATACCTTGCATAGAAGACAATATCTTTGAATTGGAAGATTTTTTCATCAATTGAGATCATACAAATTTCAGCCAACTTCAGGCTCACCACCAATCCCATTGCTATTCCATCCTTCTGATGACAGTACTCTGTTGAAACTGCAAAATAGTTATTTTCAAAGGTAAAATTTATAAAATCCAAAATGTGTTCTGGTAAATTAAATCTGCTTAGATTTTTTATAATAAAATCCAGATGTATTGAAGGTTACATTGACTTCACATCTAAACTAACTAATCTGAAAGAATCTTTAATTTGGCCATATAATAGTCTTGAGATTAATTGATCGGTATTTTTAACACTATATTTGGAATATGGTATACATTGTAAATAATCTTTAATATAATGTTCTAAATAATACATTACAGTATACCTAAAATCAACCAATGGTCTATAATGCCTACCTACTTTATGGGTTTTAAGTCTGATACTGAGTTGAGGGGTTTGTACATTACTGAAATCTCCTATTTTCTTATATTCTTGAATTGAAAGTTCTTGTTTATGTATTTTTATCAACTTACTTAGTTTCTTCTTGATTTCTTCTAAAGGATTGCCAGATAATAATTCATATTCCTCCGTAGAAACTATTCGTTCTTTCTCTGATTGTAAATCTAAATTATTAATTATTATAAGGGCATGAGACTTAGTTTAAAAGAGAACTTTAAGTATTTTTTGAACTTTTTAATTTTTTAAAATTAAAAATAACCAATCCCATTGTTTTTATTTATTTTTTATATAAGAATTTAAGTTACTACTATTATAAAGTGAAGACGGGGCAAAAACCCAAAAGCACTGGTGATATTTAGAAAATCCATATTAAATCTATTCTTCAATAAAGCATAGTTCGAGAGAGGTTTTAACTTTAAATTGGAAATGCTTGAGCATATTAATGTAACTTATAATTCAGAGGTGGGCAAGTTTACTCAGCAAAATTATGTTCTACATGTGTAAGCAACATGCATCAAGTTTGTAAAAGAAAATTATAGAGCCACAGCTAAGATCTAGAAGAGCTACGATGCGGCGGTTTAATCACTGTGGTGATATTAAACTGCCACAAAAATGTTCAACATTGGGTATTTGAATTTCTAACTGGTGGAAAGAAATTTGAAAATGAAGTTAAAAACACTTTGAAAACATTAATCCTAAGAAGTAGATTAAGGAGATTTTTATTTGCATGTTTTTGTGTTTTAAAAAGTTGTTTCGAGGAGTTATTTGCTATTGCTAAATTGCTATTTAGGTTTATATTTTCGAGATTTTAGATTCTTACGAGGAAGATATCATCAAAGTTAAATCTATTTATCCATAAAATAATAGTCTTGATAAAGATATTTTAATAAGCGAAATGTTTAAAAGTTTGCACAGGGTGTTTCCCTCGAATATACTCGATTTGAATTGGCTGTAAAAGATAATGGCTTAAGATAGACAAAAGAAACAAGTGCTGTCTGGCACAAACACTGGAAAAAATACAGGTTGTGCACTGATATGCCAAGTTAAAACCTGTTGATAGTATGTAAAGACAATTTAGATGAGTGTTTAACCCTGTTGAACCAACTGCTAAAACATAAAGAAATGGTATGATATATTTTTAGCTGTTGGAAGTATGTTAAAGAAACACAATGGTGGCCGTAGAGTATAAGAGGAGATGGTGGAAAAGTTCGAGCTTCATTTGAAAAAAGTCCCCATAAGTCACTCAGACAAGATTTGCGAGTGTTACAAATTCTGACAATGACACTGCACCAAACTGTGCATTGTCAACATCATTGCAATCATCACCAGTGTGACAGTAAAACAATGTATATGGCAGATGATTCTCTACAGTCTTGATGTTGTCACTGTGACTACTGGAGTGCGCAAAGAGATGTGAAGATTTATTTCAATGATATTTGGTGGGTTTTCCTTTCAGACAAAACCTGTTTTTAAGTTAAATCTTTAATAGTTGATATTTCACAGGAAAATCAAATTGGGTACATTTGAGGGGAGCATCCTGTATATCTGTCATTCTTATGGTTGTATGCAGTCTATTTTAAACTTAAAAAATTGTAAAGAGAACTTTTTTATTTATAATTTGTTAACAATATACTTAAGTAGTCATTTTTTTTAATGTAAACTTTACTTCGTCCTATTTATAATAGATAATTTTCATACATTTAGGCCTACAGAACATTTAGTGGCCGAGTAAAGAATCAGAAGAAGAAATTAGATGAATTAATTTCAACAATACCTAGCCCTGTTCCATCACCCTGTCCGGATGCACCCTCGCCTACTAACAGTGATGAAGGACCATTACTGTCTCCCTTGCTTGAAAGTAAATCCAAGTTTGAAGGTATTGCTAGTTTATTTTAAAAGAAACTAACAGTGATTTATATTAAACCTAAATATCACTTTTGTTTGTTTAGATGAAGAACCTCCAGAAGAAAAACCAGTGAAAGTTCCCATTCAAGAAACTAAATCTCCTAAACAACCACCAATCGAAATCGTTCTGCCGCAGAATAAGCAGTTGCAGTTGCCAAAACAAACCATGACACCACCACTTGTGGCAAAGCAGTCTCCTCGACCAGGTGGTCTAGAAGAATCTGGTAATATATTTTTTTTATTCACATTATTCACAAGGCCATAGTAATGAATGAACGGGTATTGGATTATATTGGAATATAAAGCATTCCACTTGCATCGAGCCAGTCCTGTTATTGCATATCAACATTACACTGGTATTTTAAAAGGCAAAATTTTTCACAACTCTTTAATAGAGATTAGGTTGCTTTTTAAAACATTGCTATCTTCATTTGTGTAGATCAGTTGTTCTTAAACAGTGTTCTGCAAACCTGCCTTGAGTATTCTACAAAAAGATTTTGAAGTTTTTTTTATTGAAAATTTATTTCAACATACTGTAATATATTACCATATTTATAGATAATTCCATGTTTCTATTTTATTTGATAAATTAAAATTTATTAGTTTATTGCTTCATTGTTTTTTGAAAATAGTAAACATGGAATTGCTTATCAAGTTTTGAATATATTGATGCTAATGCCCCATATAATAAAACTTGGAAAGGTTGAGAATCACTGATGTAGATGACAATGAGTCATTTGGGAAATGATTTCTGGATACTTGTTAATAATTTTCATTAACAATTCTCTCAGATGGAAATTTGAATGGAACAATTAATATTATATAGAATACTATAATAGCTCTCTTTCAATTGTACTTAAAATTTTATTTTAAATGTTAAACTTTCTTGTAATTAATTTCCACTAGAGTGTGTCTCCAGCTTTAATATAACCAAATCTTTAGAAGCATTTTAGTTGTGAATGATAACATGCTAATTAAAATTGTTTAAATTAAGATGAGAATTTGATTTATTTGTTTGTGAGACTAATTTCTAAGAGGAAAATCTAATTACCTATAACTGGCCATAAGATGATATTGTAAATAATAATATTTACAATATCAAATACAGTCGACCCCCCTATAACGCGGTAGATACGTTCCACTTTATAAGAATTTCGTGTTGTAGGAATCCTTAAATACATGAGCCAATCACATCCCGGCACGTGTGCAGTTTACAGACTATGGCTGTTTGAAAGGTTTTCTTCCATAAAATTAATTGATTCTAGACTAATTTGACTCAACATTTCCAAAACACGTGTAATTTTTTGGGAATAATCCGTATAAACTATGCTATAAACAAAAAATTGTAGGATTACTTACCGAGTGTGCACCATTCGATGACGCCATTGCTTAAGCTTGTTTTCGTCACAGAGCAGTGCACCAAACAGCAGGCGTGTTTTCTGATAAGTTATTTTTCTGCGAAAAATTCGTTGAACTTTGGAGACATCATTAATAGAAATCATTTTTATGGCCGTTGAATAAGAAATGTTTCTTTCACAAGAAATGTATAAAATTACAGTACTGTATTAGACTTACAGTACCTAATTTATATACTGTACAGACGATAGTAAACTCAACTTACCCGCCTAAACTCTGTAGCGTGTAAGTAGTTCGGCTGCTTGTCCACTATTGGTCCAGATTCGACCAATCCTGTCACGACACGAGTTGGCGATGACGTTTTACTGCATTTTACGAGTCTCTTTTAGTGTCTTTATACGAATCTGCATTATATGAACCCGTGTTATCGGGGGGTCTACTGTATTGAATTTACTGTTAGTGCTTTTTAACTTTTTTCTGCTCTGTGAGTACTAGAGGACTTTTATTTATATATTTTTTGAGGACTGCAATGCAGATGGCCATTTAGTGATGTACCAAATGCATTTAACATATTCAGGATGGACTGTTTGTGAAAAATTTCTGAGATTTTTTGCTCACATTTGATTTCTGGTTCGTCCTTAGGATGATGCCTTTATTTCCTCGGCCAGTTGTGTGTGTGTTGTTGAATTGGGATTTAAAAGAGCGAAGATGGGGCTCGAGTCACTCAAAGACGTGAGGCCCGTGCCTTTCTGAAAGCCAAAAAGAATTTATATAAGTAATTATTAATAAAATATACTACTATTGTCTCATGTTATTTTATGTAATAGACAAAATTTTGGGAGAGAGTGTCAATACATTTGAATTTTTTATTTATATTTTTTTGTGAGATGAAACAGTGAAAATACCACTCCACATAAATATACAGTACAAAATTTTATTGTTCTCAGATTTTTTAAGATCCCCTTTGCAGTTGTGACCCACAATTTAAGAAGCCCTGGGTTAGAACAATAATATTTTGGAATTTATTTTCATTTATCAATTACAAAAACTTCCTTGCCACGTACTGTAAATTTACAGATAAATTTGATTCTAATAGTATATCTAATAAAATCTATATTTGATTTCTTTATAAACTTTATTATTGTATTACAAAATTTTCTTTTTTATTTCATAATATAGCATCAGGAATGACATCTTGGATTGGAACATTCAATACTAATAATCCGACATTTACCAAAACCTTCAGTTTGGATCCCAGAATATCACAAAACAGTAGTCTCGAGACTCGTCTTTCAAGTCTTATGGAAAACATTCCTAATCTACCAACAATATTTAAGAGTTCGGTATTCGAAAATCAGACCCCGAGCACTGGAAGCACTCCCGTTCGTGTGGACCTTTCCAATATTAATTCACCGGCTAGGCAGATGCCGTCTTATCGTGAAAATCAATCTGATATTGGGGAACTGGGCACACCCGTCAACGATGAGAACCGAAGGGATGCAACTCCGGTTGAGGATGAGGATACGAGATTTTCTGGTAGTAATGCCTTACCTCAGGTAGTTTCGGTAGTTTCTAGTCTTACGAGTGATGATTTGCATCAGAGTCTTTTGAAAAGTTTGACTCATCTTCAGCAAATATCGGCAGTGAATCCGCCGACAAGTAATATTCCTCCAATGATTTCTGAATCATACAGTATGGGAATGTCAAATGCTCGGCCAAATATGGGTGGCGGTTATCCACAAACTCTCCCGCCAATGCATAAAAATTCACCCCCTAATTCTCCATTATACATGAAGTCGATGCCAAACAAACAGCTGTTTAGTACTACTGACAGAAATAATTCATCCAATATTTACACTTCTAAAAATATGCCTTTTCCAACACACCCTATGCAACAACCAAAAATTGCCTCCACTCCTTTATTTAACAAAACTGAATCTGTGACTGGTATATTCAGCAAAGCAGAGTCGACACCTAGTATTTTTAGTAAAACAGATTCAGGATCAATGATCTTCAGCAAAGCAGAACCCACAACAGTATCCTACAATAAAACAGATCCTGCACCGATATCATACAAAACAGAACCGTCACCAATGATGTTTAGTAAATCAGAGTCGGCACCACTCATGTATAATAAAACTGATTCAACCTCTGTTATGTTCAGTAAATCAGAATCGACACCATCTAGTTATCCATTTGCATCTGGAGATACAGACGAAAGATATATGCATGCTTCGCCTAAAGTGGATCACGACAGATATTTACACACTTCACCTAAACAGGAGCAAAATGTTTCACAGTCAGATTTCAATGCTGAAGAAGAAAATTTGGAACCGATGGATATGGATATTGGTGAATCAGATGAAGAAGATAATTCGGTTCCTACCATTCAAGAATCTTTACCTCAGACTAATGTCGATATTGATTTAAGAGTCCCGCCTCCGAGTCAAATAATGTCTAGTTCATCCACATCTTGGTCGAGTAATATTCATACAAATGTCAGTAATATCACAACCATACCGATTTCTTCAAATTCCTCTAAAAGTGATCATGATATTTCCTCGAAATCCAATTCTCAACCGGTTGAATCTCTTCCTTCACAGTGTGCACCAATTCAAAGTATAAAAAGTTTGGCCGACAAGCCTGTAGGAAGTTATGATATATTTGAGAAAAATATTTCTGACGTGCCTCCTATAGAGACAAAAAGTTATAATGATGAAGACATGAGACAGGATAATAGAAACTTTCCAGATCGAATCCAAAATGACGAGAATAAAGTTTCTATATCTCAGGCTCAACCTGTTAATAAAACTGAAGTGAATTACTTTTCAGAAGATTATGATGATAGACAGACTAATGTTGAAAACAATGCAGCACAACCTAAAGTCGATGTACCATTAGATGGTAACAGAATACAAACTGTTCAGTCAGTTCGAGTCGATAACAGTGAATGGGATTGGAATAAAGAACTCTGGGAACAGAGGCCATCTCCTCCCACTTCGAACAGACGAAGAGGACAATCATTTTACGACCGGAGATTTCCCTCTCCCAGTTATCAGCAAAGATTTCCGCAAGATCCGTATCATCCATCATACCATCCTAGAAATCAGTGGAACTCTCACGATTCTGACTATCGTCGTCACTACAATCCTCCACCTTTCAATCCTCGTTTTCCACCACCAATTGCTGGCATGAGAGGAAACTTTCCACCACGATATCCAATGTGAATCATCACTGTGTTTGTCTGCATCATCACCGTTCTCGTAACATTGCATTGATCGGTAATGCACATCCGGTTAACTCTTTACATAGAACGTGCTACATAAAATGATCAACTTTATCAAATATTTTAGCATATACAAATGTGAAAAATTACGGATGACCATCTTGCATCATACGGTTAGCATCGTGCAAAATCGAACAACATTTGTATCAGTAATTTTAGGATCCGAATCAGACCTACCGGTAAGTAGCGTGCCATCATTTTAACATTAGGTCAAGACAAAGGAAAACGAATTTAAAACACTGGATGGCATCTTTTATTGCATGAATGAACTTTGTTTTATTTTTTCGTTACTGCAGCTGAGAATTACATGGATCCAAAATTATTTTGACGGCTTTTATTTCATCACAAAATCAAATGAATGGATTTAGTGGAGATTGTCATGATACCAGAATGAACTATCACACAATTTATCCATTTCCATTGTTTAGTAATGCTAGTATTGTATTTTGAATTGTGAGATATTTACATATTAAAAAATAAATCTGTACATCAGAAATACAAATTATCTGTCTGTTTAACTGCTTTGATGACACTTTTAAATAGTTACTTCACACATTTTTTCAGTACCAATATACTGATGTATAAAATTAATTGGAAGAACTTAAAGATGTCAAATGGGTTCTATCACCATAAGGCAAAAGGCTCTATCTCCAATAAATATTGAAGATTAATCTAGCATAAAAAATGTTCTGTAATTATTACAGAACATTTCTTGTGCTAGATGTTGAGTGGTTCTAAGGTTCCAAAGGTGGTTGGGTGGTATAGTAGAGCTCTAAGGTTATAAAAACAGCCACAGTTCTGTTGAAGATTCTCTATGGCTGGGGAAGATTGTCCACAGTGAATGCCACGGAAAAATCTTCCACAGAACTGTGGCTATATTTGAAACCTTAAAACTCTACTTGTACTCATACATCTGTGTACAACTCATGCAGGTACAGTAAGGAGTCAACTGTAAGTGCCAATAGATGTCAATTGGTTTTTTAAAAAATTGGACAACACTAATTGCTTTGTGTGCTTTTGGAGAGGTGCATTTTATTGGTCCATTGTCTTTTGTTTTCGTGCATCAATAGTGTTGCCAGTCACAATTACTGTTGCCTCTGACTTGAAGGTTTTGTGTTTCAAAATTACTATTCTTCCTCCCGACTTTTAATGGCACCTTTCCTGTTTTCTGCTGAACATGCCTTGTAAATATGATACCAAGTACACAACTGATTTTCAATTGTTTCAGTGATATTGATAGATCCTTTTCTTAATTATGCAATACCAAATATCGAAAGGCTGGTTCTTTTAGAAGTTTTGTATGAAATTTTGTTAGAACCATTTCAAAATTGTTCCTTTAAATATTAAATTATATAATCACAGATCAATGACCAAGTTTTCAAATAATATATTCACAGGTCAATAACCTGTGAATATATTATTTGATTTTATTATACAGATATATTAGTTTGATTTGTGACATAAAATGATTCCATACAAATTATTGATTAGGTTTTGAGTTTACTTACAGTATTTTATTTTACAGAATTAAGAATATGAATGAAAAATATTTATCTTCATAAATTAAAGTAAGTATTGTTTCAGTTAAGAACAAGGAATATTACAAAAAATTCAGATCTTTTTAGAAAACTAAAGAATACTCCACATAGTTAGCGCATTGATGAGGCATGAACCCACAACCTATGAATGGGCTACCTATGTTTTTTGTGGTTTTATCTATTTGGCTTCTGGTGGGCACTTCTTTATTGGGACAATACAGTATAGAAGGAACTGTTCCCTTGTTACTTGCTAAATCAAACCTAGATATGCCTATTTGACTGGTAAATTGTGACCAGGGGCGGATCTAGGTTTTTCGGGGCCTAGGGCTTATTAAAGTCCAATGAAGTCCCATTTTTTTGTTAGATTAAGAATCTTTAAATTGGGGTTTAAAATTCATTTTTAATAACATCAAAATCACAGTTGAAATATATTTATTTATGAAATGGTGTTGAATGACAAACTTTATATCTTATATAAAAAATCATAAGAAATAAACAAAATAGTTACATTGATTAATTACTGACCAATTACATTACATTGATTACAATAAAACAAATAATACTATAAATTATCATTATTATATTATTAATATTAACTTTTTTACTATACAATAAGTGCTCATTGTTAATAAAAAAGTATTAAAAATTTATGATGATACAGTAATTCAATTTTTGTGGGCCCTTGACACTTGGGGGCTCAGGGCTTAAGCCCTATTAGTCCCTATGTGGATCCGCCCCTGATTGTGACCTTGATTTATATCTTCAAAGAATGGCTTTCAACTAGTCTAGAGTCTAAGTTTGCATTCCTTACACCATTTCAATCGGGGTCTTCTCGGCCTTATGGCTAAGATCAAAATGTCTGGCTAGGGACGTGTGTACCTGTGTCCCTAGCCCGGTCTTGGCTATAAGTACGGAGAGGCTGGCTTAGTATGGTTCTTTTAGGTGCCATTCTCGACTATTACACCTGTCTGGTGTGGATGGTGGCTGATAAGCGTTCACCCTAGTATTGAAGGAGTTTACTGTGAGAGAGTTTCAAACTTTAAAACCACAGCAAATATTATGGTAGGAAACAGCTGCACGACCATTGTAAACCATAGCATGGGAAATCCTTGTAATTCGAACTCAGATAGTTCGAAATCCCATTAATTCGTAACTGTACTATCTGTCACAGCCGCGGATATACGGATTTACATGTTAACCGTCTTCTACTTTTTTTCTGTTATCTCTTGAAATTCGACTGAATTTCGGGTTTCCAGATTGGAAATAAAGAAATTGAAGTGCCACCTGAATGGAAAGCTTTGACGAGAAACATTCTAATGTAAATAACAATATTGCAATAACCAGCCTTATGGATTTTGATTAGACAATTCCAAACCTGAATGAAGATATAATACCAGCGCACCTCGAAATCCTGTCAATTGCAACGAAAGTTTTGCAGTCCTGTCTACAGTTAACATGATGCTTGAAGATAATGCTGAGTGCTAGCAGGGATGTTCAAGACGAATATCCTGGCTAGCAGAAAACTCAATGTTCAATTATATAGTATTTATATTATAATCAGTGGCGTGCCGCCCTTGGAAGCGGTGGAAGCGCCGCTTCCCTTGTATTTTCTAAAATATAAATACATATTGCGCGATTATTTTCATATTTTAACGTACTTTGAATTAATTAAAATTAATATATTATTATAACCGCGTTATGTATCTTATTACAAATTTCTATACTACGTGTGAAAAAAACAATAAGATAGCCATTGTATATTCGAATATCAGTGGAGGAATGGAAGCGCTGTATTGTCGAATACGGGACAGCTTCCACTGCCAAAATATCTGAATGGTGTAAAGCAGCCAGATTACAGGCATTCGCTTTACAGAGCAGCAACCTCGCGGTTTAACCGGTGGATGCTACACACCAAAATATCGTATAACGCTTCCAATGATTCTATCCAGGACCGATTCTGGGCTGTTAGTTGCTTGCGTGCTAGATATTTGGCCCCCTCGCCTGATTACGTGAATCGCGAGTAGATTTATAACTTAACCCAACCGATAGGAGTTTACTGGTATGTTTTTTTAATATTTCTGTATAGTTGACATGAGTTTTTTTAAAAATCCATTAAAATATTTGATATACATATTTATTCTGCTCTCCCATCTTGTATTATTTACAGATTCCAATGTTAAATTAGTGATATTACGATTTGATATGTTCCATCTATAAGGGGATGCATAAAAAGAAGTGTACAATTCTTGTACAATGTTAAAAAATTAACTCTTATTTTGGTAGCATCATTTACAACTAAATTTAATGAATGAGAGAGATGCACGAGGTACAGAAAAAGCTCTAGAATTTATTTTCCTTAAATTTACGATTTATGTATCGTTGTTATAAAAATTCGTCTTTCCACTTCTTTCCCAAGACTACAAATATTCGAGTACAAAGTAACCGGTTTCAACTTATTTCTGTCTAAAAAGTAGTTAAATAATTAAGAGATTAGGGATTTAGGGACATAAATAAAACCCTGCTGAAAGAGCTGTAATTTTACTTAAACAAAAGTACAGTGGGGACTGATTTCTTCGTAATATTAGTTGTAATAAAGACAGAAATTTTTCCATTTCAATGAGGGTGATTGAAAAGTTGTAAATTTTGGAATTTCCGTGGATACCTGGTCTTAAAACGAATTAGAAAACAAATGACGGACAATCTACTTTCTTGTTAGTATTAAGTTTAACATATGTAGATTTTTACAGTTATGGTGAGAAACGTTTAAAATTTACAACCACTTTGTCGCATCCTTTGGGGTATACTAGTGATGCGACAAAAGAGGCATTTGATATTGACCAATATCGGCACTCTCGTGATTTGGCAGCCTGCGTGCATGCACGCACTGCATCGTCTCTGATTCCATCCATTAGCTACTGGTAGGGAGCTATTTGACTAAGTGGATTGTTTTAAGATTTAAAAAGTAAAGAATATTTTATGTTATTTTTATATACGTTTCATTACAAAGCTATATTTATAATTTTGTTTAAAAGTATATTCATACAATTGAAGAATATTTTGTACTAGGCATGCATATCCCACCACACATTTTATTTCACCAAGTAAGTTTTTATAACTTTAATTTGAATTTTAGCCCTTGTATCGTGGCTAGCGATTCAGACTGTAATTGTGATATTTAAAATACATTTAGAGAAGTCTGCGGGTTTTACTGGCATATCGAACAAATGAATACGAATGGACCATAGACCATCACTGACGCGCGATTAACTGATTGCCCCTGAAAGTCGGCTTCTTACAGAAACACAGTTTCCCTTTTATCAAATATCACGGCTCTCCACTGATTATTATCAGTAATTATTAATTAAAGAAAGTAGCGTTCTGTATACGTAGCAGTATTCCATTTGCTTACTACTAAGTTACGTGATATTTGGCGTATTGTACTGTACAATCTTGATAATTCGAAGTCGCCATTTTTTTTTGTCTCCTGAATTTAGAACCAACGATGATTCCCTGTAGTACTGTACTAAACTAACAGTCGTCCTAGGGCTTTCAAACGGTTTTATTCGTTTATGGCTATGCCACACAAATGGACGCTCTGCTGAGGGTAAATGCCTTCCAGTAGATTATTTATGGGAAACATGCCCCTATTTAGGTGTTACTGACGTGAAGAAAACCCGGAAAATTTCATGTTGCCAGTCGCGAATCCACGACCAACTATCAGTGTTCGGTGATTATATCCTCGTGGACATCGGTGGGCGTTCAGAGGGTCTGTGTGACCTGATAGTGATAAAGTATGGTTTGTGTATACTATTTTATGCAAAATTCTGTTTGCTTGGGAAGTTTTCCCAGACATTTTTGATGGATTCACCCCAACCTTTCATCTGCATATTACATCTCTAGCTGATGTCTTGTATGGAATTCTTGCGAATGTGCCACTTGCATTCCACACTGAAAGTCTGTTAAAACTGGCATTTTACATGCTCCTCTTTGCTGTTCTTTTGAAAGCCTAGAAAACTTTGAACTAACCATATCTCGAATGGTGGCATTAGTAGCCATTTTCTATTTTTGGTTAAATAACGAATTTTCATTTTTAAACTTTGCAATTGGACTGATACAGAAAATGAAAAATTGAATACCTTCTGCAACTGGACAAGTAATTTGTGTTTATTATGAGAATTGCATACAGAATTAAATATTGATTCTCAGTTTACTGTGGATATTGTTACCTGATAATTTGACAAGCAAAAATATCCTAGCTAATGGAAATTAAGTGGATGAGGATGCTGGAAGAAGCCACTTTGATAAGCATCGTCTACGGAGTCACGTAATTAGTGATGAGATCTATGGCTCACTTATATAAACCAGGTACAAAAAGTCTGAATTGTGTTTAAAGTTTAGGAATTTAAAATGCATTTATCGTTAAAAATAAAACTTTCATGGACGAAATTGAATGAGTCTCTTATGAATCCTGAAATAATCTTTCATTTACTAATCAAAATCTAGTTAAAATGTTTCGCATTGGTTATACAGTTGGATCTCTAATAACCCCACCTCTAAACAATGGCTATTCTTACGTTTCCGTCAGTGGCCGCCATTCAGAGGTTTATTGGTCTCTATTGTGGTATAAAATCGAAATCAGTGAAATGAAAAAACAAATTTGGATACTTAGAATTTTATTTCAGCACCAGGTTGAAGTGTTGACATGTTCAAACAAGCAAACGTAGATTAAAACATGCACAGAAATTCGTGAAATTATTTTATTTTTGTTTTCAGACTTCAGAAACCGTAGTTTTCATGCTCTTGTTACGATTTCTCGACTTTAAATTTATTGTTGGTGGTGATTTATCTGAGCTTGTCCCACAGAACAGTACACTACGAAATTTCTGCCTGAATTTCTGGCAGAATATACTGTAAAGTAGTGGGTTACAAGCGGACGATGCGTAAGCCATGATATTGACGAAAATCAAGAAGGACCAATTTTCTTGGAATTTCGTTTTGGAAAAGGTATTATAAACCAATAAAATCTGATGGGGAGAGAAACTGACAAAATACACAGTCACTCCAGCTATTAACATTTTGACAACCCCTCTTCTGGCCTTCATGGTTCCTGCGTAATTTTCCTTACCTATGGAAGGTTCAATGGAGCGTAATGCCTCTGGTCTGAAGAGCTTTCTTCCTATTCTTACGTACAATGTCACTTGGAGAAAGAGTGGGATGAGNCAAGTTTACGGAAAACGTGCCCTATCTCAACCAATCAAACACACCTTTACATGCTTATAACTACAGTTTGAGAATGATTTTCTAGAGAAAAAAATATCGATTTAGACAGATTTACAAACGTAAAAGTTAGACTTTTTTTAAAATAAAATTGTATAATTTCTTTCTTATTATTGATTTTTAATGTAAACTGAGTGGGAAAATTTTTCCATATTCACGTTAAAATAAAAAGCTGGCAACATTGTTGTTGCTGGACTTTCTCGGAATTTTTTACTTTTACTTTTTTTTATATCCTTAATAATTCCCATCATTAACTTTATAAGTCCTCAGATTGGTTGGGAAAATATTAAATGGTGGGGCCGTAACTCCCGAACCAATAGTCTGATTTTTCTGAAAATTTCTAGAAAAAATTTTCCCTAACAAATAAACTTCCCTGCAAAATTTCAGAAATTTTCCACAAAAGGCACAGGAGTTATTAAGCTTAAAATTGGGTGAACAAAATCGTGCCCCAAGCACTAACATCCTTACATATAGAAAAAGCTCTGAATTTTTATGCATTTCTAAACGTTTCAAGGTTCATGAGTCCAAAGATGTAAAAATCTTGAAAGGAGGGGGGTCATTTTTTTGACCGAAGTCATACTTTCCTTCTGTTAGATAACAGCTGGGAAAGTAAACATGGTGTGAAGTCGGGATGATCGGTGCTCAAAATGTGGAAGATCAAGTTGGGAGAAGCACAAGCCATGGCTAAAGGCCAGATACATCCAATAATTATTAAGATCCTTACTCTACAACATAGGATATGAGCAGTGATCGGGTGGATGATGGCAATATACCTGCAAATTAAACAGTGCTTAATTAATTAATTTTATATTATCATGGGTGTAAATTATATAAAGCAAAAGTTATTTTTAAATATTACTTCAACTTCAATCCAACAGTAATTAAAGAATTTTAATTTTCAGTAAGTATGCAGTTAGGATTCCCATCCGTTTAACATTCGAAATTTGAGTGTTTGTTTGATTGGCTGGTAGATTTCAATTGTAAAACTAATCAAAGTTGGTCGGGCATCTTGTTCTTTCACTAATCGACAGATTACATTTTATAACAATTTAAATGTGTCCCGCGGTTTATACCAAAGATTTATGTTCATCTAACAAGTTGGGGGATAATTCTGTAGATTAAAGCGCATTTAACCTATAAAATTCGTACACCAGGTGCTAAATCTTGATTATTTTAGCCTAACTTCAAGAAGGGCGAACACTACAACTCTACAAATGTGGCTTGTTGCCCGAGAATTGTGTACAGAGTTAACACTAGGCAATATTTCCATCCAGTTACCTCCCATGCCATACAGCATTTCCAAACAAAAATAGCTGCTTCAGTCAGGTTATTGGCTGAAACAAGTTTCTAAACTTTTGGAAAAAACAATGGTCAACGGCATTTTGTGACTAGATTGGTCAGCAAAACAGAGTTATTACCCTCGCTTTATACACAGCTTAAACGATTACGAATTTGAAAAAATTGTCGATTTATAAATTTCCACTGCCTATCCTCCTTTAATCTCATGAAAGTGTTTAGCTAGATGAAAATCGAAACAAGATATAGAAAGCGTGGGAGGAGGGAGCCTCGATTAACTATATACGAACTTCCGGTCTAGACCGGAAACCACGTGATTTTAATTCAAAATTTTCTCCACTTANTTCTTTATAGAAATATTTATACAGAACGTTTCTAATAATATAAGTTGATTAAATTTATATTAAAAAACATCCATTGACGAGTTGCGTAACGTTCCCAGCAAAAAAAAAAAAAAAGTTAAAATTGTGTGTGGCGCCATCTGCTAATAACGAGTTAAACTTAGTTTAAGTATTGACATCGTTCGAGCTATGTCAGCTGAGCCATCTCTATCTCTTTACCCCGTTGACCTTTAACTACCAAAATTTAACAGAATCAATGGCCCATGTATAGAAATAACCCTGCCAACTTTCAAAACTTTTGCTTTATCTAGTCTTAAACCTCCACATAGGCAATTTTGAAGGGTTGTTTTTATATTTTTGGGCTCCTGGAGGGCGAAAAACGTCGAGAAATTCGAACAAGCGGGTCAAAATCCGGGAAGTTAATTAAAATTAAAACCAACTTGTCTATCAATTGGTCACTAATTTCTATATATGTAACCCAATTAAAACGACCTTTTCTTTGTGGTATTAATTTACTTTGCAGCTAGTTTGTTTCTGCAATAAATTACAAACTAACGAAACGATCTTCAAGATATTTGCAATTTAAAATTCAAATATGAAGGAAATGAAGCTGATAAATTCCTGATGCAAAAATATAAGGATATATTCAACTAGAAACGTGTTTTCCCTGGTTCAAAAGAAATAGGATTAAGCCAGTTGAGGCGAATATATAATGACAGCATCAATAGAAATATGACAAGCCAATTTCGTAAGCGTAACTCTTGTTACATTTAAATAACATAAAGGTATTTTTATTATGAGAAAAACAGTGTTTTTTTGGTATAAAAATATGCTTAAATTAAACAGTTTTAACACAAGAATGATTGCTAGAAACATAGAGAGATGAGGATGAAGATGAGAATATGACAAAGATAATTTGGTAAGCGTAACTTTTTTTTACGTTTAAATAGCACAATGTTCTATTTTTCATGAGGAAAAAAAACAATTTTTTAAAAATAAAAATATATGTTTAAATTAAGCAGTTTTAACAAGAGAATAACAGAAAGAAAGCTAGATTAATAGAGGGATGAAGATGGAGATGAGAAGGACAAAGCGAAATATGACAAAGATAATTTTGTAAGTGTAACTTTTGTTACTTTAAACAAGACTGCAAAGTGTTTATTATGAGAAAAAACCAGTTTTTTTAATATATATATATATATATGTTTAATAGAAGAGAATAATTGCAAGAAGAGCGGATTTACAAGAGGAGGAGGAGGAGCAAGATGAGGAGAAAGAGAAGAGAAAGCAGCATTCTGTCAAAAAATCATGGAAAAAAACGTTTTATTTTTTTTAAAAAAAGAGATATTTTTATGACATACAGAATAAAAGAAGACTATTATATTTTGGTGAATAAGTGAAAAAAAAAAAAAAAATACAATAAGAGAGTGACGTCAACTGTTTTTCCAGCGGTAAGTAATATTTTGATTTGAAGTCTTGAATAATATATAAACTAACAGAGAAAAATACTTAAAAATTATATTATTTTAATCCACAAAAATAATATATGTTATATAAAATACTTAATTAAATGTAAGCTATTAATTATTTTCTTAATTTTTGCGTAATTTAACATTATTGTAGGCTTTTATAGTACTTGTACAGCGTAACTGATAGACATTGCTATAGAATGCTTCTATATTAAATCTGTAAATAAATTAATAATTAATTTATAATTTTTTAATAATTTTAAATTAATTGGAGTGATTAAAAATAGTTATAATTTATAACTTTTGTAATTAAATTACGTATTAAGACCTGAAGTTAAGGGTTTTTCTTCGATTTTCTTGATTCAGTTCTCGACTTTGTGGTTAAAGTTATATTTAATGCTTTATTTTTTTTTATTTCTTATGTTATATTTATAAATTCGGTTGATTTTTGTGAAGTTTCTACAAAGTTTTCTTTGATTTCTTTAAATTTTTACCGTGTTTTTATAACTTTTTTTTGAAAAAGTTGTAAAAACAAGAAAAAAACCTGAAAATACGAACGTAGGTGGTCCACTGAAATATAAACATGATTAATTTAAGTTAAAGTTTAAGTTTGTATTACATTTCACTCGAATTTTAGATCTTAAAAACTAACTAATTAAAATTTTAATATGGTTCTCCTCGAATGGCATGAAACAAATGAGGAGGAGCTTCTGCATCCTTTTATGTCCACCATTGCACCACATTTATGATTCTAGATATATTTATCGTATTCAAGAATATTCTGCAATTTGTAATCTATTCAGATCTTGTTCTTTAGTCCAATTTTGTCGTTGCATCATAATTATTAAGACCTCTTGAACAGTCTAGGATGACAGGAACACTGTTACAGAAAAATCTAGGACAAATTTAGAGATATTCTAGAATGTAGAGCAATCTAGGACCGCATTCAGGACTATTCTAGAACAATCAAGGATCAATTTACAGCTGTTTTAGAACAATCTAGGACAAATTCAGAGCAATATAGGACCACAGTAGCACGGTCCCAGAACAAACTAGGATTACAGTAAGAGGGTCCAGAAAAATCTAGAACCATAGCAGGACAGTTCTAGAACAATCTAGGACTACAATAGAACTAACTGCTCGAAAACATTCTAGAACCGCGTTCAATACTTTCTGCTCTCTTGCCTTATGTTTTATCTTAAGTAACCTTAAATTAGAACAGACTTTGACTACTAGAGAAACCACTTTAGCAATTGTAAACAATGCCATTATATCCCTTGTAAAAACTTACCCCGTTAGACCAGAGCCGTAACTAGGCAAGTGCAACAGGTGCACCCGCACAGGGCCCACTTTTAAACTTAGTTTAAGTATTGACACCGTTCGAGCTATGTCAGCTGAGCCATCTCTATCTCTTTACCCCGTTGACCTTTAACTACCAAAATTTAACAGAATCAATGGCTCATGTATAGAAATAACCCTGCCAACTTTCAAAACTTTTGCTTTATCTTGTCTTAAACCTCCACATAGGCAATTTTGAAGGGTTGTTTTTATATTTTTGGGCTCATGGAGGGCGAAAAACGTCGAGAAATTCGAACAAGCGGGTCAAAATCCGGGAAGTTAATTAAAATTAAAACCAACTTGTCTATCAATTGGTCACTAATTTCTATATATGTAACCCAATTAAAACGACCTTTTCTTTGTGGTATTAATTTACTTTGCAGCTAGTTTGTTTCTGCAATAAATTACAAACTAACGAAACGATCTTCAAGATATTTGCAATTTAAAATTCAAATATGAAGGAAATGAAGCTGATAAATTTCTGATGCAAAAATATAAGGATATATTCAACTAGAAACGTGTTTTCCCTGGTTCAAAAGAAATAGGATTAAGCCAGTTGAGGCGAATATATAATGACAGCATCAATAGAAATATGACAAGCCAATTTCGTAAGCGTAACTCTTGTTACATTTAAATAACATAAAGGTATTTTTATTATGAGAAAAACAGTGTTTTTTTGGTATAAAAATATGCTTAAATTAAACAGTTTTAACACAAGAATGATTGCTAGAAACATAGAGAGATGAGGATGAAGATGAGAATATGACAAAGATAATTTGGTAAGCGTAACTTTTTTTTACGTTTAAATAGCACAATGTTCTATTTTTCATGAGGAAAAAAAACAATTTTTTAAAAATAAAAATATATGTTTAAATTAAGCAGTTTTAACAAGAGAATAACAGAAAGAAAGCTAGATTAATAGAGGGATGAAGATGGAGATGAGAAGGACAAAGCGAAATATGACAAAGATAATTTTGTAAGTGTAACTTTTGTTACTTTAAACAAGACTGCAAAGTGTTTATTATGAGAAAAAACCAGTTTTTTTAATATATATATATATATATGTTTAATAGAAGAGAATAATTGCAAGAAGAGCGGATTTACAAGAGGAGGAGGAGGAGCAAGATGAGGAGAAAGAGAAGAGAAAGCAGCATTCTGTCAAAAAATCATGGAAAAAAACGTTTTATTTTTTTTAAAAAAAGAGATATTTTTATGACATACAGAATAAAAGAAGACTATTATATTTTGGTGAATAAGTGAAAAAAAAAAAAAAAATACAATAAGAGAGTGACGTCAACTGTTTTTCCAGCGGTAAGTAATATTTTGATT